CAACACTCCGCTAGCAAAGAGGAAACCGGACCGTTGGATACTAACAAGATATTAGACCAAAATCATATTCGGCTTGCTTCAGATTAGGTTGCTTCTTTTATCGGGTCTACTCCACTATTGCTGGCAGTTACACACGAGAGGAGACCAATTTCCTCTCCGAGTTGAGAGTAGCTTGCTTGCAATGATCAAACACGGCTTATACTTCATTAATTCGCCCCTCGGAATACACGCCGGGAGAAAATAGAGTGGAGAAGAGGTGGAAGTGAGGAAAAAGGGGAAGGTGGGGGGGGGGGGGGGGGGTGCAGTAAAGATGAGCGGGGGTATTGGGGATGAGTGGCCCCTTTCCGTGTACTTTTAATGGGTGCCAAGGCGCGAGTTAACCGGAGAGTGTGAACCTAACGATCCAGTGACGTACCCCGCTGATTACAATGTTGGAGTCAAAAGGCGCAGATTCACTGTGGTAGGAGGAAAAGTACAAGGATTGACCTATGCCTATAGAAAAACATCATATCCAACACGGCAACATTTAAAGATTTTAAGGAACAGGCCAAAAGAAAATTGAGAAGTGGAGGAATTTACTGAGCGAAGTTTGTTTGGGAACTCCGTGAAATGTTCCCTTAGGTTTAGGGTTTCGCATGAATGGGTATTTGTAAAAGTATGAGTTTGTGAGTGTGGGATAGTTTACACATTCAAATTGTGGACGTTGAACAATGGAGGACAAAAGGGTCTACAATTCCCGAATGTCCACGATTGACGATCGTGTACAAAATATACGGGAGGTCTTCCTAAAAAGTTAGTGTACAAACAAAAGGGGGACACTAGAGGGTCCACGATTGAGGGTGTTTACTCACTTGTTTGTGTGTAAGGTAGTTGTTAACGCACCTCTGATAATACTCAACCCCTTTTTGCCCAAAGTGACTGAGAGATTTCAACCAGAAATCCCTTTCTCTTTTCTTCGAAACAATATATACTTTTATGCTCAATATTTTTTTTTAAATCACCAAGTTTACTATCACCAAGATGTGGGGTAACAGGTCTACGGACTAGAGTAATTGTTTTGCTTTTGTTGCCCCTAGCCCCTCTTGGTGATTAGTTTTTTTTTATTCTCTTGTTTTCTCTTGGTTATTGATGTATGTATTGTCTATGTCTATTGTATATTTGTATTCCTTTTCTTTGGCTGAATAAATAATTATAATAATAAAAAAGCGAAATAGTTTATTTAATCCATTTTTAAATGTTATCTACCGTAAAATACTTTAGAATTCCAACGCGTCATCATTTTGTAAGATTAAGCCCTAAATTGAATTAAAAAAAAAAATAATTGTTCTTATAGAATAATAAACGTAATCAATTAAACTATCGATTTTTATTTAATTTCCCCGGATGATTTAGGAGAAGGATCCCATCTTACCTCAAGCATGTTGGAGAGGGGGTCTACATAAAAACTAAACACCCTTAGGCGATGAGTTAACACAGCGAGACGAACCGCCGACGACCACGATCCCATACCCGGCCCAGCCCCGTACCGTACACAAGAGAGCTGGGCAAATATTCTTCATTAAGTCCGTTGCGATTTAATTTAACAATGTTGCAGCCTCGCCGTTTCCTCCCAATTTGCCCCGGCATGTTTGTGCTTCAATTTAAGGTCGTGTGGCTCCTGAGATCATCCAATTTCCAAACCTATCAAGTTATATCCCGACAGTTTTTTTATAAAACCGCCACGGGCAGTAATAATTTTTTGTTCAATGTTTTATTTTTGAACTCCGAGCGAGTCTTTCTGCTTCAGCACTCAACAAGTCGGTGTTAGAGAGGCTTGTTTAGGCAAGCGAGAAAAAGAATTTTACGCTCCTTGCTCTCAGAGGAAATGACTTAGAGCAGTCCACAAGATAACTAATAATCTAAACCTTCCTTTTATTTTTAAAATCTGAAATTAAAAAAAAAAGATGCACACGCTCTGTTTTTGTTGGCAGTCCGTGCGCTCTTTTCATTTCCCCCGATGCCTTTTTAATAAAATGTTGCTAATCTTTATCTATTTGATTTTTTTTTTTACCCCTTTCGTCTCCTGTATTGCGTGGCGAGGGAAGATTTTTGCGAGGACGGTTGAGGAGTTCCCATCGAGAAATCGTACACCGGCGCTGGCTTTGGTTACTGCGCTAATATACCAGGCTGGGCAGGAACAGAGAGACAGCAAAGCGGTTGAGAGCTCAACATTTCCCCGGTCGTATCTCGGGGGTTGGAGGGGGAGATTTCAGCCGAGCTCCCCGTCCCGTGAGACCAAATCCCCCGCTACAACCGTCTGTCAATCACGCTGCGAAAAAAAGCACAAAGCGTTCGGGGAAATAAAAATAACAATAAAAACAGCAATAAAGTTATCAACCCATTGTTATGGTAGTGGAGTCACATACTGTCCCGCCGCGCTAACAACACCGTGTTTGAAGATATTACTTTTATTTTTACTTGTGGTGCGACGCGTCAAACCGAGAGACATGTTTGATTCCTATGGGGAACCTGCGATAATTTATTGAAACTTTGTTCAAGCCGTGACGACTGGCAGAGATTAAACAGAAGAGAATGGATCGGGTAAAGGTTGATGAAAGCAAAACAAAATAACGGAAAACTCCGGACATTGCATGGAAAAACAATAACAAAGAAGGATTATTGGAAAATGAAAATGTCAGTGCCTAGTTTTATCCTATATATCAGAGATTATTAAAACACTTGACATTATTATTGGTTGGGTTGACAGGCCAAGTAAGCGGAACGAAAAGTGTGAACACAAAGTTGTTTACCAATTGGATGATAAATCAAGGGATGTGGACGTTTAAAGTAAGCAAGCAAAAACAATCAAGAAAACAAGTTATAAAAACTTTGTCCAATTATTGATTGCTCCTAAATTTCATTTGGGTAGGAGGAAATTCCCCTAGTGCATAGTGGTCTTCCACTGCTCTTTTGCTTTGTAAAACGAAGTTGGTTTGTGGTGACGTGTAAGGAACACAGAGTTCTGGAGATTATGGTCTGAGTCTTCAGGTAAAATATCGGGAACTTTTTATTTTTAAAAACAGGAATATTTTCAATCTCCTTAGCTAGTTTCAATCAGTTCTTTCAACGAAAGCATTGTTGAGGAGGCAAAAGTACATCAAACCTGGAAAGCATAATGTCATGGAACTTCCGGACTGGAATCAAGTCTACCAAGTGTCATTCAAAAAAATGCCATTCATGTATTGCAAGTAACATTTCTAGGGCCCATATTTCGGCCACCCCGAGCGCTCTCGCTTACCGGGTTCCCACGTCTGTCAGAGACCAACGGGGCGGGATATAGTTACGGCAATCGCACAGTGCAACCCCCGACCATTACGTCAATTATCACGCTAAAAACACAGGACACATGTAACACGACCACTCATTGACTGGAATAGCAACATTTAATTGGCCCTCTCGCCGTAAGAAATCGTGTGGTTCCCATTCATCAGACAATCTTAAACCTTACCAAGTGTATCTCTGTACATGTACATACACTAAACATCGCACTGGGTATAAAACCTCTATCGGTACACCGATCTTTGAACTCATAAATAGACAAACTTGATACCTCTGCATGAGGGAAATTGAATGTCAAGTTTGAGGTGGTCAAGAATTTCTATTCCAGTTTTCTGATATTTATAGTTATTTACACATTCTTGGTACTTTTCAACCATCTTGACTTGTATACATTCGACTTTTAAGAACTAAAATACACTCTGGTAGATGTTCAAAAGGACAGAACTCGGTCTTAACTGACAAGTTTGTGTTTAGTAATATAGTTTTACCAGTGCCAAACAATGTAAAAATGCTAATAATTTGAAATAGTAACATCTCTTAGCATCACTTTTACCAATAGCATCACTTTCACCACAAAAAGAACGTAAAGTCGGATTCGTTTTTCGGAGTTCTGAGAGACACTGAACAGATTCATACTGACCTTTTTTTCGGAGAGGCATCCTCACAGCTTCTCTCCACTAATTGCGAGAGGAACTGGAGAGAACAAAGTGTACTTAAAATAACACAACTTTTAACTCACCGAAATTTAGACTATCATTAGTGCTTCGGACAAATACAACAGTAAACAGAATTGCTGTAAATCAGACCCCGACGAGGCAAATGTAAACACAACCATGCAACCTATCGCTCATACTGTAGTGTTAACACATAATTATAACGTACTATCATTAAATAAATTACCTCAATTTCAGGAGAATCTGTTATAAGATATATGATTATGGGTACAGCCGATCAGGAAAATTCGAACTTAACGTTAAGGTGTTCAACTCGGATCATAAACAATGACATTTACCTCTCACTAACCATTCACTTACGTTATTGCGCACCAGCTGCAGTATTTTCTTTATTTGTAACGGGATCAGCCAGTTTGGGTGCATCCTTTACTTAACTTGTACTTCTCTACTCGTGTGACTGTACACAGATTTCTGTGACGTTAAGGCAGTCTTGTGTGACTTGTACACACAAATTTCCATGACGTGGGTCTTGTGTGACGTGTCAGACTTATTAAAGTGCGTAGAGATTTGTGTGATGATTTGAGTTCAACCATACTTTCCAACTTGTTCCTTATCTGGAAGGAATTGCAATGAAATGATCTACCAATCTTAAGTTTCCAAGATGCCAATTTTGACCAGAATGTAAGTTTGTATTTTCGATTTTAGAATGAACCAATGATTTAAAAGACTTGAGAATACGATAGTTGGATACATTTTATCGATAATCTAAAATGATTGTTGCAAAGAAGAGTTATGGAGAGATAAAAAGAGTCTGAACACAGAGCAGCGACGTAACTGCATCAGGGTAGACATGCATTGAACCATAAGAAAAGCTGAACTGTTTTAGCGATTCGTGAAGCGTTCACCTAAACGTAGACCTTACCACAAAAAGTACACCCTTAAATCAATAGCATGAAAGACACGTGGAATGAATTCCAATGCACAAGAGAGAAAATGAAAACCAGAGAGAAGCAAGTAGAATCCGAGCCATTAAAACATGTCGCTCAATCCCCCTAACGCGACCCCCCCCCCCTCGCGTCGGACAAGCACTTGAAGCCCGCATATATAAACTCACATACTCCGAAACAACACACCAGAGAGGGGTCGATTTTCCCCCGTTTTTCTTTCTTTCCCCCTTTTTCCCTCCGAATACGTTTGCCAGACCAACAGCATCGGGCCGGAACCACTCTTCAACCGTTTATCACTTCGATTCCGCCGCAAATTGGGTAAAACAACTCTAAACGGTCTCGTGGGGGACTTGGTGCTCGCGCTTTTTATATGAAGGGCCACGCGGGAAAGCGAAGGCTTTTAGAGTGAGCGGGAAACAGGAGGGGAAAGAAAAAGACAGTGAGGACGAGCAAACACTTGACTTGAATTGAAAAACAACGCTAATCCCCTTCGTTTTTATAAAATAGGTCTTCAACTTTTGACAAATGCGCAGGGAACTTAAAACAACTCTTTCACGCCAATGATGACGCGAAAGTAAAAGGATAAAACAAGTTTTTTTTTTAAATGTTATGACAAGGTTTTTCAAGTTATGGTACTCAAAAAGCGTTTGCAAGCTAGATGCTGAACGACTGTTGGAAGACGTTGAGGAAAGTCTACCTCAAACAGTCGCTTTTTGATATTTAAACCACTGGGTTGTGTGGGCTCTTATAGGTCAAATATTGGAGTTAATAAGTGCTTCGCAAAGACTCGAAATTGTCAGAGAATCGATTGGATCGTCTCATGGGAAACAGCTTGAAATTGGAAGCGGTAAGTTATAATCGATTTCAAATTTTCTGCAGATAGATCCCTTGGTCTCTTAGAGAGTAAACTTTGGGATCCTTTTTGGAAAGTATACTTAAACAACTTACGCCATTTATTAGAAACAAAATACCAGTTAACAACATATTGACAACTTTACTGGTGAACTAGGCCAAAGTATTACTCTAATGCTTTAAAAGGGATTTCTTACAACCGAAAAATATTTGTTTACTGGTAAACATCAACATGAACAAATAATTACATTTACATAGTGTCCCTTTAAATAGTCTCTTCATAGTCTCTCATTCCGAATCCACAGCACTGTTAGCTATCGAGCCATCTGTGGTACCAGACGGGGATTTCTCTGGCTCGCTATGCATGCTGGTCCTGGTGCCGGGGCACTGGATACAGTCTGGTGGACATGTTGCGTAAGGGGCGAAAATCAGACGTGGGTACCCCTCCCCACCGGTGGGGAACTTCCCCGACAGGTGGAAGGGATGAAGGGCGGGGAAAGCGAAGCGAGGGGATGCTATGGCTTGGCTGGACATGCTGGAGGTAAGATCGCTAACTGACGATGGTGCAAAGAGAGGTGTACGTCCTATGAGCGCTTCAGCATGGAAAGGATGGGGTGGTCTCGGAGCGAAAAATAACGGTACAGATGACCCAGTAGCACTGGACGGTGGTAGTGGTGTAAATGCAGACTTCATACTGCCTACTGGGTGCTTCTCACTCCCCAAAGAAGACCGGAAAGCGGTCTGTAGTCCGTGGACTCCTGACGGGCCGATGCTTGCTTCGTGACCCAAGGCGGATCGCTGACCGACCACCCCACGTGAGATAGACGGGGGTGGAAGGGCTGATGCCGTACCAGGGGAATGCTGAACAGCATCTTCAGTGGCTGATAGAAAATGCTCAATTGCCTTAACCAGATCCCCGCTGCAGCCTTGTAGAACCAGCTCGAGTACCGCCTTACGCTGGGTAGGGAAGAGCCGGGTGAGTATCTCGATGGGTGTCAGACGACCTGGGCGGAAGTTGGACACGAAGTTTGCTGCGAAGCCATTGAATGCGTCCAGAGACTCGTTGCCCTTCTTGCTGGAGGAGTGACGGTGGTTGTTGTTGCGCTCAGTCTGGCCGCTAGGGGGCGTACCTCGGCCATTTTCTTTGTCGTTTGCCGACTCACTCTTCATGTGTTTCTCTGCACATTAGAAAGAAAAATGGAACAAAATGATGTGGAACCTGTGAGCAAGAGGCATAAATCACCAAAGCATAGACATTAGACAATGGAAAAAAATTCATACATTTGTTCAGTTTCTTGGTTTTGACGTTTTCCCCCAATAAGACGAGATGACTGCCTGAAATGGCAGACCAGGGTTTGAAGCCACGACCACACAGACGTCGTAACCACGCAGGAACTGAAAGGTCTGGTTCCGTTCCAGCAAAGGCACTGATTTTCCGAATCCCGTTTAAAACAATTCCAGTAGTCACCTAAAACTTGACGGAGTAGCAAATAAACCGCATTTAGATCAGAACTTTCCTAAATGTTTGATATTCTCCTTGTCGTTTATTTTGCAAAACAAACATTTGCACGAATTAATTCAAGATGTCAAAACCCATACTTCACAGCGCCACCAATATCCTCTTCATATATTTGCATGTACAAAACTAGCTCCTATTTTTCTTAGTTTCATATTAACTTTAAAAGATATCGGGTGACAACTGCTGACTTATTTCCCGACTCTTTTGAACTAGCGTACCATCCAAGGTCAAGTACATGTGAATTATTCAGGTCAGTATCAGTACCGTGTCCGAGAGATGCCATGCGTGTCACAATGAACCAACGGTTGTGTGTCGTCACTGAGTTATATCAATGCCGATACGCGCGTGTTCACACAAGGTCAACGGTTTATCCCACGACCCAGATCTATCATATCATGGACAGCTGATCCTGCACTGTAAAAAAAAGGTTGGGTAAAACACTGTTGGCAATGTTATTTGTCCAACATTGGTATGAAATTACACGGTTAATTCGGGTAAAAAAAAGACAACTATATATTATTGGGAAGGATTTTGCGCAAGCGTTGGCAGTTGGTAAGCTGACAAACATTGGGCAAAATATCAACTCATTTGCCCAACTGTTCTCTACAGCTGAGAGTTTGGACTGGTGTTTTGTCGTCGTGGGTGGGCAAACTGAGATCGTCAAGTTTTTTCATTTTTTTCATAATAACAGTGGAAATATTTGCTAAAAAGTATTAAAACCTATTTAAGGCCTTAACGAAACAAAATAAAATTACCATGGTTAGCCTACGAATTTAAGAAAATAAAAATGAATAGAGTTGCTGCACTCTCCGTTTAGAAACTGACACTGCCTGCCAGGAAAAAGGAAAGTAAAGGAGAAAATGTACTCTCTCATTTTGGCTTGTTTCAATTTGCCCTGGCGCCCGCCATGTTTACCAGCGCACAGCAACAGGTGTATACCTAACACGTGGGCATCCTAGCCATCCTAGCACAGGCCCAAACACACTTGACTATTTGTCTGGTTGATGGTAAATCGTTATCGTATACACAACATCGAGTGCCTTGAAATTATTGTGTAAACCCACCGAAGAATGGAACAATTTTCTCCTTCGTGTACCATCGAACTGCTAAAATTGATTTTTGTCCCTCTGTTTTGGGAGGAAAGATAGGCGAGATTAAATAAGTCGACCAAAGGCATGTAGGATTTAATAAAATGGTAGGAACAAAGTGCCGGTTAAAGTTATATTAAAACTGTAGGCTTGGTTACAATTAAGCGTCAATATTGCACCGATATCACAATGATTGATAGAGCATTTTATCTAATATAGTAAGTAAAACAAATTCTGAGGGTTCGCCAGACGTTGTGAAGAGTGTTTGGACTTACAGGCCTAGTGTGTGTTTAGCCCAATTTTACCATCAAAGCTTGATTTGACCAAAATCCATGATATTGAGTGAAAAGGAGTGCCTTAGTCCGTGTGAGAAACGGACATTGTTTTTAATTCTCAGTGAAGGATTTGAGCGTTTGGTTTTCAGTAAGACAACCATCGGCGATTCGACAAAAATATATTGAACAAATATCAACCATGAAAATGGTGTGTCGTTTATACAGAGTATAGAATTTAAAATCTTTTTCATTGAAAACACTTTAGTGTCTGGCAAAACACGCCTAAGAGTTAATGGCGTTATTCAGACGTTTAATATCAACAACCGTGTAATGTTGATATGCTTGAGGTCCGCAGGCATTATTTTTGAAGCAAGTAACTCCCCTTACTACCACAAAACCCTTCTGAAAAAAATAAAGACTCGATTCACGAGCAGTCCAAATTTGGATCAAAAATTATTGATCGGTCTTTTCCCAGAGGGAAAATCATCAATTTGATTCCTTTTGTTGGACTGTTCCTTTTTATTTTTTCCTTTAATATTTTTTAATGAAGCAGCGATTCTTCCCACGTAAAAGGCGAACAGCTTTTTAATGGCTTGTGGACTCCAGGGTGCTAGTGTCTTCGGGGAGAAAAACAAACCGCATCTCAAGCGCCAGGGTCGGGAGTGATTGAGATGGACAGGGGGAGGGGTCTGTGAGTAAAAGGGTGCTTGTCTGAACTTCTTAAGACACTGCAGGCAGGGAGGTGAAGGGGTAGACCGGTGGATGATGACCGAAGGACTAGGTCCGTCCAGGATTGTCCTGGGCTACAAAGCGGTGTGATGTGTGCCGGGGATTAGACCCCACAAGGGTGACAGGCAAAACTAGAAAAAGTCCGTGTCTAGAAATATGGTTATTTTGACTGATTTCCAGTTGCAATTATACACGGGAACTAAAGCTGCCACCATGGTCAGGTACGAGGTTTGACCGTCAGTTTTAGTGAAGAAAGAGAAGTAGGGCATCAGAAGTCATCACTTTAATTGGATTCAAAGTTTAGGTAAACAATTTATCCATTAATGAAATATGGTTTTGACTTATACGTTAGTTTCCTAGCACGTCTTAAAAATCAGAATGGGCCAAAACTCTTTTTTATATCTCACCGGATTAATATGCCCTCAAAAGTAATTTTTTTAATATTAAAATGAAGAAATAATTTGCATGCACAAAGCAAAGGAATTACTTGCGAAGTCATTATAGAATAACCAGGAAAAAAATTTCAAATAACTACTTCCTCATTGATGCCCCCAATGCATGGCTACGAAAAATACAAAAATTGCGATATTTTCATAAAAATTAATCGAATAAGATTCCGATAAAAATAGGTGTACTTTCGAGAGTCTAACTTCAACAATACGAGTTGCTGGAACATGATCACTGAAAAGAAAAAAAAAGAGAAAAAAAAACAGGAAAAGACAAACGGTAAGAGATTGCTGCGAGAGTAAATGGACTGAGCACACGTTTAGTCTCATTACATTCCCATCACGGTGTGTTTGCACGAGCCAACAATGCAGCGTGTCCTAGACGGCCTACTGCCGCCGCGACCTGTTGCCTCGACTACCCACGAACAAAGACTCGCCCGCCGCCGCCTCTACGCCATCGAACCCTCGGGCTCAGATCTCCAAGATACTGCACACGTGCGTCTATTACCGGACTCTCGCTAGACCAAGACCGACTATATCAGTCTCCCCTCAAAAAGACGAATAATGGCTGCAAAATTGGTTTGGAAAAACTGGGGATATATCAAGGAGGCAAAGAAAGGGATACTAGTAGGCAGAGAGTGCCTGCACGTGGGGGTAAAGTCGGTTGGAAACATTTGAATATCATTATTTAGGTATTCCATTAAAATTCGAGCCGGCGCAGCTAATAATGTTTACCGTGCAAAATCGGACAAGACACGCGAAATCGACATTTCCGTAATAAATGCGTCCCGCGCCTAAATGGGCCTGTTTGTCGATGCATTATTATCAATTGATACTGAAGTATTTCGAATACATAATAATTATGTCAATACTGCAGGAGGAAAATTAATTTTTTTTTATGAATACATATTTTTCACCGGTGATTTGTTTTAGTTTATTGTTTCATGTTTATTAATGTCTTATATAGGCGATCGTTACGCACCGTATGTCGTGCATACATTAAGGTGAAGCATGGTCTATAGCTCCATTATACGCACGGTGGGAACCAAGCGAGCAAGTGCAGTATGGCTCCCCTGATAAATGGTTCTCCTTGTCCCCTAGCTTGTGATTGATTACTCAATCTAATATTCCCTACTAAAGAATAATATTATGATGGCAAACTGATGACTGAGCAATACACTGGGCAGCGTGCACAAGTTATTCATTAGCAATGGGGCAAAGTGGTTTAGAGCCGTTGTTGGATTGGGACAATCAGCGGCAATGGTCGACCCTCTCTCCCCCTCCTCCCCATCACGATCCATCTTCAGCTTAAAACTCAAGTCAGTTTGACTGTAGAGCTCACTTCTTTTTTTGAGCTGATTTAACCAAAGTCCTAGAATGGTTTAACACCTCGGGGCTCTCTCAGTTCCTAGAGTCACATGGCAGCGAGACAGAAAAGGCACGAGACGGAAGATTAATCAAAGAGGATTAGAGCAAACGCGGCGAAGTACTTCAAAACAGTCCAAAAAAGAACCGAAGAGAAAGCGGGAAAGAAAAAGTAAAAAAAAAAAACCCTTCACAACATTATTGGCCTGCCTATTTCGAACCGGTAGTAGCTTTTTACGCTCAGTTAGCGCATCGTGCTTGGGCCGGCGATGGAGCAGAAAATCGAGGCGATTGGAGCGGAAAGAACCGGCCGAGTTGAACGACAGAAAACGCCGCTGCATTAAACCACACCGCGCGCTGAGTTGATCTTGACAAGGACCGTTGATGAAAACCATGACGATGATGATCATCATCATGATGACTTCGTCTCACCAACCGACACCGTTTGCACTTTTCAGTCTTCCCCTCTACCTCCCCCCAGTCCGACGCACTCACCGAGAATAAATTTAATTTTGGTTAATATTGTCATGGCTTTTATTTGATCGGGCCGTGCGATTAGGACATCCTTTCAATAAAAATCAACTTTCGGACGATGAGACAGGCGATTAGCTATACTTGAGTGCAGATCGTTCACTTTGGAGAAGCCCGTGTATATTGCAATTTAGTCTTTGTTATTGGGGCCGCGATAATGCGCAAAAAATGTTTTGTTAAGTAGACTAATTTAATTGGAAAATATCACAAGGGCAGTGATTGCCTGTGACATGACTATCTTTATTATATCTCATTGTTCGGTCTTTAGTTTGGCGAACTGTCAGTTGAGGGAAAAGGACGGCGTTTGATTGGAGTGTGCGTATTGTAGGAGACAACTGCGAGTTTTGTGAGGGTAACGGATGGAAACCTCGCGAAATCTCTTCAATTCTGGAATCTGAACTGCACCTCTTTCAAAGTGTGATGAGTGAAGTCAACAATAACAAAAGTGTTTAGTTTAGTTGGAAATTAAACATAAATCAGGAAACAAGATTAATATACCTCATAATTCATTTGTAACAATGTTCCTCGAGATATTTGTCCATGTCTGTTACTGTTGTATTTATTTAGTTTACTATGCTCATTTTCTTTTGCCGTATTCGGCTTGAAGTACTACTTTTTATCAGATATGATCACAACCATAGCTAAAAAGCATTTCAATTATGTTTTCGTAAAGGCCTTCTGCTCAGGATAACTTTCTTAGTAATTTGTATTTTTTTTTTCAAATCATAAAACAAAAATGTATATTGTTATCATTACCGCGCTTTGTTATCCTTCTTTTGGTTCCTTTTGGTACAAGCGGGCACTGCTTTTTCAGTGCTTATACCCGTAAAAACGTCTATGCTCCATATTGTAAAACCTAATAGCAGGAAAATAGACTAGAGTTCAGGTGACCTTGTAATGAAGCTTGTATGCAACAGGTTCTGTGACGACTAGCACTTGTCGTTGCGATGAATGGACAAAAAGTGAAGGTTGAGAGCACTGACTCGATGTATGAAACACAGAGTTGAAATTCTCCTTTTGCTTGACGATGATCAATTAGTTTCGTTTTCCTACTCCAGCTAATTAAAAGTGTTTGTTATATAGCTTGACGTTCCGTGCCCACTCGAGTCTATACACGTGCTACGTGAACGGCTAGTCAAACAACACGTGTTGCACAACTGCAACAAGCTGCGAGTAACAATATCTCATCTGGTTTATAGCAAAAAGTGCCACCGCCGGCCGGCCGTGGTACTTCTGATCTAGACCCGGACATCAATTTCAGCTGGCGACTCGGAGTGTTTTTCCAGTTTGAAGAAGGGTCAATACTAAACGGAACGTTTAAAAAGTACGATATGGGAATACGGACCTAAACTGAGCTATGAGATGCAAGAGGTGATATCACTGGCTAGGTCTTTGATGAAATGGTGAGTAGCGCGATTTATTCTGCTGTTCTTGAGGAATTGTATTTAACAGAACAGGCTACAGAACGTCAAGAGGGAGTCAGACTTAACAAATAGTTGACACTGCCATTGCTGCTAAGGTTTTTATAAATGAACATTTTCATAATAGATATAGATTCTCCTCATCGCTCCAGTTTGATTCAGCTCAATTTTTGGGTCCAAAATCCACTCGTCATTTGCACAGCTTGTTAAATTTGCGACACGGGCTCAAATTGAACAAATTATTCTTTCGTTTTCAATATTCTAAATTTAGATTTAACTTAATTGAAAAGAAAAGTTGCAACAAAATAGAAACAGCAATAAAGTGAAAGGGAGAACGCCAGATGCTCTTTAAACTAATACGATAAGCTGAAAGGCACACTTCGATCAATAAAAGCTAAAACTCATAATTAAACCAGAAATCACTGAGAAAACGTATAGGGCCTAATAGTGGCGTCATTATGACGCTGCAAGAAGTCAGCACTAATGCCCTCAACGGCAGTTGTTTGACAAAGACTTGCAAGTTCCCGTCCTGGCGAAAGAGACCAACTTACAGTGCTTATACCTTTAAAGCTTATAAGGCCGGCAACACAGAAAGAAATAATTAATTGAAATAATTGAAGCTGTCCATGTAAACAAAATGATAGTGCAATCGCGATATGGCAGCATCGTCGATATGAATATGACGAATTGCTAGAAGCGATATCAACCTCTAGGGAAACTTGCTATCATCATTTCGGATCTGTAATAACAATGAGACGAATCAAATGTCCAATCCTCAAATGTAATGAGAAAAAAATAGTGTCTGTATGGTATGTTTATAAAAAACAAAAAAAGGAAATATTTTACTTATTACTTAAAAAGTGATTTTTGTTGTTAGATGCATGCGATTGAAAGAGATAAAGATTTGAGAGTAACAATGATGTTTCTTCACTGAAGATTTAAAACTTCAGTGACGTTTCAAGAAAAGACGTCACCTTCAACATTAATTGCAACAACAAAGTTCCAATGTTAAAGTTTTTATGACGTACGGTACTTGTCATAAAAACTGAAATTGATTTAATAAAAAAGACAACAGTAAAAGCTTTTTTTATATTCAGTTCGTCAGACTCGTTTGATCAGCGTTGTTTTCGTTATATACCACTTGCACATGAAGTCTTATTTTCTTTTAAAATTTTGAGGGAAATATTGTAAAATGCCTTGACTCGAAAAACTTTCCAGGTTCGGGTTGTAGTCGCAGTCAGCGGGCATAATGGCGAGAATGTAAGCGTGTGATAACATGCGAGGGTTATTAATTTCCCACGTATGGTAAATCCTTATTTCTAAGATTTCCATCGGAAATAAACCTATCTCCATCCCTAAAATAAACCACTAACCCCGCCCCTCATGCGACTTCAAGCCCACTGACCATTGCGTGTATCAGTTTTTTCGCCCTATTGAAACCGATTTCATCTGCTTTTGTCCCTGTATCGTTCGATTTTTCTCCATTTTTGGTCGATCATCAATCATCGCACAATTATCGACTGTCAAAGCTAAAACGGCAACACGTGTTATTTGCACAGACAGCAGTCCCTATGCCAAGGTTTGTGTTATTTTCGGGGCTGTGGCAGTATGAGCGTGTGCGCAGTGTGACTGCGCCTTCACACGCTTGTTAACACGGCAAAGTCTGATCTGATGCGATCCTGTACATTAAGATATCCCTTTTATTGTTATGACTGTTTTGCACACATTTGTTATCACAATGAATGTGCAGCATTAATAGTTAAGTTGCTTTGTCGATGTTTCATGGGGATGTTTATTGTTAAGTTGGATCATTAATACATCCTTGACTTTGATTGTTTTCGTTATTATGAACTACTTGAAGTTTGGCAAGAGAATAATATTTGGAATTGTCTCTCTTGCGGTAAACATCTTTTAATACTGGCGTTGAAAGAAAATTAAATATTCCTTTTAGTTGAAGAATGTTTAATTTCCCATAACCGTTATGTATGTATCTTGCCTTCATATACGTTTGGGTATTTTAAAACTACGATTTCCATAACATTTTTTTAAATGAAAAGTCACACTAAAACAGTCGATTTTCCATAACGGTCAGCGCATCCTAAGTTTAAGTAGGCTTATCTGAAGCTGGAACGTCATGGTGGTAGGAAAAAAAGGAACTGAAGTTTAATTTTAAAAGAGTTAAAAAAGAGCGAACATTTTAAAGGTTCCTTGAGAGATTGAGAACAATGAACCAGACCGACTTGTTTGCAGTGTTGTTCTTTTATTACTTCAGTATAACGTACCCCACTCCTACTCAAATAATGACAAACATCAACCTTAACTGATCCTAAATAGAACAACACAATATTCTGTTGCATTACCTCCATGGATTTGATTTAAAAATCGCCCCTAAACAAATTAATCGTGATGTAAGATACAATACGATACAAGGCTCAAGGCTCAAGGATGGATTTAAAAAAAAAGGGAAACGGGATGCAAGAATGTCGACCAATTTCATCGGTGTATAGCAGGTTTTGCGACCGGTTTTGAACCGAATCGCGCAGCTGCGCGAGTGAGTAAACACGATGTCGGGGGCCCGGCCGGGGCGTGCGAGTCGCCATAGCCTCCCGTCAAACCACGGGGACGGTACACACGAGTAGCATCGGTGGGTAAACTGAGCCCGTGGTCTAAACCCGTGCCCAGATAAGCTTAATTGGCAAGCCATTAAAACACCATCAGGAACAGGCTTGTCGCTGCGATAACTGCGCCGCCCCGTGAGATTGACACGGGAGTGGGCTAATAGCGCCGTGCCATAGCTGATGAGTCTCGCCGCGGTACGGGGGCAAGTCAGGCGCAACGAGGGGCCTCGTGCTACTTTACACCGGGGACAACTTTCCCATGTCGTCGGCTTACAACCTCAACATGCCGGTGGGTTGTTAGTAGTATCGTTAGCTTGATTGTGACAACAACGAAACTAGAGTATGTTGTGACTGAATGTCCGAAAAGAATATGAAAAAACCTGCGACGTAAAGAGTTGAAAACAAACCTGGCTTCTAATGGACACAATGTGAAGTATTTCATGGCATGTTGTTTCACAATATACAACAAAATATTTGGGAATAAATATTAAGATCAAGCAACTTAAAAAATTCATTTGCGTGTTTGCAAGTACAAAAAGTATAAACATTTCCTTACTTTAGTTTTGCTCAAAGAGGGACAAACATCTTCTTGAAGATTAATCTGCCAGGATATTCACGAGGGAGCTTATTTTTCTTATCGTTATGAAACTGATCTTTATTGGCAATATGAAATGATAGTACAATAAAGAGGATCATTAACCATGAGGACAAGTCACAAGAAAGCATTAACAAATAGTTATCAACTTGACTTCGCCCAACAAAAGAAAGTTTTTTTTACCTTGAAGTCGGTTCTTACTTGAGAAAGACATTGGTAATCAAGGGTTCGAATCCTGGCAAGACAGTTTTGTCAACTATACGGCCACTCACAAAGAAACACCGAAAAATACGACGCTTAGGCCTATACGTTGATTTACCTATACTTGCCTAAGTGAACAATCATAACTTGTAACTTTATTAACCTTAATTAGCACATATCTGACATACAGCACGTGCATTGTTTTCAATTTGACGGTAGTTTGATATTCTCTGATGACGAGTGATTTCAAGACTATTAGAGTTGATGAGGTGACAAGGCAAACTTACCAGTGATATCATGATGGTCACCGTCCTCATCTGCAATATCCATGGGTCGTGGTGACAACTCGTCCCCGGAGTCTGAGGAACCAAACAGCGGTCCGTTAGTTGACAACATACCGAAGCTACCCCCAGCACCAGGCGAGCAGGCACGCAGACCCATCGCAATGGCGTCCTCCGCTGCTTGCTGTCGCTTCAATGCGACCTGAGCCGCCATGACACGCTGTCGCTCGGCAATCAGGTTGCATTTGGGACAACGACAGTCCCTGAAACGACAGTGTCGTTTATGTCCTTTCAGCCATGAGATGACACCGTGATTGCGACAGCGAGCGCACTTAGGTTTACGGGCACCCTTTTCTGTCAAGGGCCCCCTCAGTAAAGACATGGTCTGCATATCTATGACCGGTCGTTCCATCATGACTGTTGAGTATTTTTTTACACCTTAAACTCGATGTAAAAATGGTAGAGTAGGTGTACAGGTGTGGTGTGGAAGGTGTAGGCAACACACCGACTGATGACAACTATGACGAAGTCTCGACTTCTCTCAACTGAAAAGATCTTTGTTGGGTTAGCACAACCCGATGGTGAACCCAAAGACAACCCAAGTTCATCTGCGATCAGCCATACAGGTTGACTGTTTTGTCCTGCCGGCGTTTACGGAACAATTACAGTCAATACACAGTTATGACTGAACATCCCCGAAAAAAAAAGAGTTAAACAAAAAAGAAAAGCAGATGATGAGCAACACAGCCGGCCGCTGATTGGTCGATGTAAAGAACCAATTAGAATCGTTGTCTAATACGCAGCTCGTTAGTCAGTTGTTAGTGTTACTACCGCCACCAATCACTGATATAGCCTAGACAGTGCATTTGGAAGCCAGGAAAGCATGAGTGTACCGTTCAACCACTCACTTAGCAGAGCGAGGACGTAATCCCAGCCTGCTTGTAACCCGACAGAGCTTTTCGTCAGCTCGGGCCCGGGTCAAACGGAAATCTTAGCTTCTCCGGTTTCGTAGCGGAGCAGCGAGCAACAGCTTTTCTCTCTGGCTCTCCGGCCGTCAGTTCGAGACGAGAGACTCACTGATGAAGCTTTACTAAAACCTCGCGGGGTCGGCAAGCCAGCTCGTGGTTTCACGGTTTGTCACCCACACGGACCCTGTGTAACTTTTTTTGTTAGCACACATGGACTAATTTGTCAGAAACTGAACGGCGGTCTAATGGAGGCCTGTTGATTGACGCGCTGAGTGATTGACACGCGCTCGCCGCCTCAATCTGTAGCTCCAATTGGCTGAGGTCGATCTGAGCACGTGGTCTGTTGATTGTGACGTCACGTGGTGTCCGTTGACGGACGAAGAAATGTAACAACTTTTAGGGGTCTTTTTGTTCACTTATGAGTGATCAGCCGGACAGGTCTAACTTCACAAATCAGTAGGCCGGCACTGCGGTCTGATGATTGATAGGTGACAAATTATTTTAGAAACTTGGAAAAGAGAACTGTGGTTTGAGGGGAAGTTGGTGCCGAACACAATCCTGCAGTCCGCATTACCACACCACAATCGTATCCACTCTCTAAGTGTCTTCACCAATTCAACCCCAAATCCTAACCCTAAAATGTCACATCACAGCACTCCAATGTTTGTGGCAGGTTAAGTTGCTGAAATATTGGCTTTATTTACTCTACTAATACGCATAAAATTGACATAAGATGAGGTGCAATTAAACCACACTCGGCGATGGTCGTTCACACCTTGAAACCTTCATGACCCGAAGAGAAATGAAACGTATAAACGTGTTCCAACTTTGAATATGTCAGTGTATAATGTCACTTCCTAATGAAATGAGGTAAGGGTTTTCCTGATGTTTCCTGAGACTTGCAGCATTTTACGGTCCTTCAAAACTAAGAGACGGCCTAACCAGTGACATCGATCTTTGGCAAGTTTTAAACATCAGTTCAGATTAAGAAAAAAATAGAGCAATAAAAAGTCTTGACATTTCAAAACAATAATCAACAACACATGTATTTCTGTATGGTTCCTCATACAAAGCGGGACACACACTACAGTTCAATTCCATGCAGATCCATTTCGCCGAACGCAAGTTTATAACTTAACACGAAAGACAAGGCCCGAAAAAAACAAAGGGACTTTTCGAGGTCTAAGTTTTCCCCCAGACACATACCCGTTTTGGCATGCACTTTTTCAGTGCAAACTACCAATATATCATTATAAAAAGGCTCTGAAGAAACAGTAGTATAGTCCAACATTTTGATACCCAGAAATCCGTGAAGAGCGCCATCATCGATGACCTGAGTCCATCCAACAATTTCCCAAATAAGCATCAAAGACTTGACCTTTTGAACTATTGAAACGTTACTTCCTGGTCGACAGATTTTGCATCAAACCATCAATCACTCTGGCTTTAAATACTGCTGGCTCGAGCGGTTACATTCAGCACCCGAAGCAATTTCCAGATAAAAACAGTGGTTGACACAAAAGGTCTTTCAGTAAGATTCCTGCATCAATATTGACTGTTGGATTGTGACAATTCACAAAAACCGATCGCTGTACAATTAACACTGAGTCCATACACGCACACATTACACACATTGGCCCCAGCGGAGCCCTCTCTGCCTCGTGTAGCCACTCACACATTTGGGAATAGTAGAATAGATGGACGGGGAAGGGCAAATAATAATGGAGGTAAAAATATAGTCAACGAGTAATTAGTCACAATACAAACTACTTGTCACAAGCGCAAGGTGACAAGGCCGTGTAACAATGTGACACACTAAACGAGACCTCAGCCCACAATTTTGACTGACCGTGGTCCTAATAATGCCTGTCCGTGCCCCCGACAATGGACACCATGATCAGGCTGATATCGTTCCTCTAGTACGCTAGGGAGAGCCCAGGGTGTCAGTGGCGAAACCGGAGCCGTTAGGTGACTTCAATTTACGGCGAGGGGTGGACATGAGTGAGTTTGCCCGCGTTCTGCACGCGGCGTGGTGTTCTAATACATGAGATGCTTGGCCCCGTATTCTCACTTCCACTCGTTTTTCAGCTAGAATATCTTCTGAACTTGAGAAAGTTGAAATATGTGACGACGGTAAGGCCAAAAAAGAAAAAAAAATAGTCGGTCTCTGGTCAGCGCGCGCGTCGATTTTGATCATGCGTGTCAATAGTTTTTTTTTTTTTTCAAATTTGCTTTTTGCAAATGGCTTTTTATGGTCTAAACAAATGCAGCATACTCACATTTACAAAATAAATAAATAAAGCAATGTCTAAAAGCTGGCTTGGACCATTGGCAGTAAATAATTTAAGTCTGTTTAACAACAGGTTCTGTTGTTCTGAATGTGTAGCCTAGCAGGGCTTGTTTTTAAAACATTTTGGAGGCAAAGTCCAAGTCATAAAAGTAGCCTTGGATGTATGAAAAATGTGAAGGAAAGCATTAAGGGTACCTAGGCAAACGAGGAGGGAACCTACATGTAGGCAAATGAGGGGCACCGAGCAGATGTGGAGGACACCAAGGCATGGGGAGAGCATCTAGGCAAATGAGGGGCACAATGAATGGGGAAGGGCATCAAGGCCAAATGATGGAGGGCACCAAGGCAAATGATGGAGGACACCAAGGTATATATGAGGACACACAAAAAGCAAAATACTACCAACCTTGTCTGTACAATCCATGCTTGAAAAAAACAACGCATCGCCGCATAAATTCCGGAACTTTGGTCTGACCAGAGACCGACTATTTTTGATGCCTAAACTGAAACAAATCTCTCACGAGAGATGGAAGTAAAGCAGGTGTTTCGTTTGCTCTAAGATCTCAGGTACATTCAGCGTTATAATCCCGCTCCTTTACTTGATAAACCATTGTGGTGCTCAATAGAGAACAAACTGGAGATCACGGGTAGAATTTTCGGGGAGTCATCTTCAAAGTTATCTCAAGTTGAAGTCACACCAAGGCAATTAAGGTTATTCGGTGCGTTGTGTCAAAGGTTCAACTATTTTTCTTCTTCTTTAATTGTTTAAGTTGAAATCCTAACGACTATCCCCTTAACCAATTTTAGCAAAGCTGCTTTTAAAGCGATGTAAGCTGCTTTTAAAGCCTTTTTCTATACCCCTCACTCTGATCTGTTCCTTGCTCTGTGGATAAATTAACCGTATACCTTGTCCAAACCCTCTCTCTCATGCGCACTGGCCTACTATGCGAAAAAAGGGAAGTCAATTTTTAATTTTGTGTGCTAATTACAAACCATCCATGTTGAAAACGGTCAAGTATCACCAATTTTATGTCGCCGTGTTGGTTTCAACAAAAAATGGCGTTTGGACTTCAACAAGCAGACTGCCCGATATACGATGCTTGTTGAGCGATGTGTAGGGCCTGGGTAAACACGAAACAAGTTATTCGTGTGAAAACTTGTAGCTTCATTGGAGAGGGTCGATAATGGGGTTGGAAACAATGATCACATAGCAATTAATTATCGATCGAGATCGGCCCATGGCTATTTTTAGGGCACAAATGCATTTAATTTTAAAGAAGGAAATGTATTTGAAATGGATTGTTGCTGTTTAGTATGAGTTTAATAGTTTTAATTCATTGTCCAGTTAAATAAGGGACTAAAGGGCCCTAAAGCTTTCTTGGTTTGGACTCAAATTATATATTTTTAATCGTTAAAATTCCATAATCGTCCAGCACTGCCACATCTGTCAATCAAGAGGGCCTTTTGTGCAAGTAGATACACGGAAAAGGGCGGTTTTCATGTTTTTGCCCAACCACAAAACAATCTACAATAGCCTGAAACTGAGCAACCAGTTCTTAAGAGACTTCACCTTGAACGAGGCGTTGACAAGTGCCAAGCTAGGGAAGTTGTTCACTCGGGACCGTTGCATGTTGTCACTTGAGCTCAGCGGGGCCTCTGTTTGCATTGGGTGGTCATGGTCCCCTTGGGGTCATTAGAACACGTCTCACTTGGCTGCACTGGGAGATTTTGTCTTTCATGGGTTTTGGACCAGATGGTGTGAAGTATTGGTCAGTCATTTTAACGTCCGTTGTGCCTAAATGCGCCTTGGCTTTCCATGGTTGAGAAGATACAATTCGGAAGCTTGTCACGGGCAGTGACTCTAATATAAGAGAGGTGTAGTTCTGAGAAGAATCGGAGGTAATTCACTCTTCGTTTCGGTCAGAATGCTCTGACCGTTACCAAGAGTCAAGATGATTCATTCTTGCGCGTACATAATACGCACCACATCTATGTGTGTTACTGCACTTTCAAAGATAACAGAGAGCGGTCTACCCCATAACCCATTTACTTCGGTTACAGAATATTTCTCAAATGAGGAAAAAGTGCTTTAAAAAGCATAGTTTCATCACTCAAATACAAATGCAAACTCCCTGATGAAGGCAAACATTCAATATAATGTTAATGTTATGAAAGGCATGTCACGGTATGTACAGAAAGAAAAAGCAATTGTTGTGCAACATTCTGCAAGATTTGTCTGGAGGGCGTGACCTGACGCAAATAATGGACCTTTTTTGGAGAAGATATAGATATTGAAACGATAGCTGGTGTTCCTATACAACTTACTGTTAAAATTGTCTGTGAAAATCAGGTCAATTTGGTGTTGCATGGAGCTTCCCCTTTAAGCTGTATGGGAATCCGTTATGCTGAAGTGGTTGTATTGGTTCAGGTGCATTTGCCACGTCCAGTGTTTAGCGAGAGGCCACCTCATTGAAAGTAACACCGTTACTAAGCAAACCACAACCAGTTTAGTCAATCAAGCAAACGATCCAGTCAACATGGAAACAGAAAAACTAGGCTGTGTACACTGGCTTTTGTTTCGTTTGAGTTTGCGACTGTGAGGATTGTGGTCAAACGCATATCGCAATCGGAAATAACTAACGAACGATAAACAATTTCTTACGTTATAATTCACTTCATACTCAACGACCTTGTTGGATGCTTGAACTAGATTAAAAAATGATTTAAACGGAATGCGTAAACCATATGTATCTTTGAAGTGGAATGCAATTCTTTAAGAACATCGTCATATTTCTAGAGCGAACACTTCAAACTTTAAGTAGGTTTTTACAATTCTGACTTTTAAAATTTGTATTTAACCGGTTGCGTTCTAGATGATTAAAGTTCAAAGGACAAATAACGATTTGAAAATGTGTA